TTTATGACCCCCACCCCTAAAACCCAGATAATAAAATTTCTAAACCAATAATGATGACACTATTCTTTGAAAATTTATAAGCTTCATAAGCCTAGTATTGTAATCATCTTAGCATAACTTGGCATAAGCAGGTATAAGGTGATTAAGCTATATAGTTGAAAATTATTATCTATTAGTTTGAAATAAGTTGGCTAAGGATAAATATTTCGTCGAATAAAAATCTTTATAACCTTAATTATTGAATTTTCACATATTGTTGTCAGAGACTCAGCTGAATTAACCTAAATTAATTGCGATTAAATTAACCTAAAATCAAAAAAGGAAAAATGCATTGTCACCCAGACAAAATTCGTTGATTGATCATTAATTGATCATTAATAACATAAAATATAGTTTTGTTAAAACTAAAACATGGAAAAAACAATGTAGAAGTTATATTTCTTTTGTATTATAATAAATATTTCATAAAAATTAAAAATTTTGCAAATAATTAAATAAAATTTTATGCATATATTAAATCCTTTAACAAAAAATGTCTTCCACTCGGTACGATTGGTGGCCACTAGCTTCAACTCTATCCAGCTTTTTCGCATGTGTGACATTTCCGTGTCAATTTAACTTCTCCAAGTGTGCCCCTTCTTCTGCTACACATCGGGTTCCACTCAATCGCCATTCTTCTGGTGTCACCAGTCGGTCTACGCAAAGTGTGACCGACTCAGTCCCATTTTCGTTTTTTCATTTCGATTCTTATAAGCGTTTGTTGAGTTAAAGACCAATTTTTTTATGCATGGCATTTGAAAAATTGATATAACTTTTTACAAAACACATATGAAAACAATCTGGACGATCCTTCACTTTTTAAAACGTTTTCTGATTTTATACAAAATAAAAAGCAAACCGGAGGAGATCCAATTTAAGAAAGGCAACGTGATTTTGTCGTTGACATAATGCGTCAAGTCTAAATAACGTAAGAGCTGACAGCTAGCAATTTGTTGTTGCGCTCAGACCTGCCTTAAATCATACTGGCAAATTACTCATAGCCGCTATAACGTGCGATTCTTTTTCTAGATTTTTTTTTTGCTAAATTGCTTAACATAATTATTGTGTAAAAAATAGAATAAAAAATGTTTAAAAATAATAATAGAATTAAATATAAGAGAAAGGATGAGTAAAATACTTAAAAGATACTAGAAAGATGCATGAAAACGCTTATTAAACGTTCGGAATTATGGTATTTCACTGATGAGTATAACAGCATGACTTCAGTAATTTTCCGATATTTGTGGAAATTAAATTATTAAAGAATATATTTATTTATTTATTTAATCAAATAGAATTTTTGAAATAATATTTCAAAAACATTCCATTCATAAAATTGTACAATTGTACATTTGTGTCTTAAGCCAAAATTAGGCTCTTTTCGGTATTCCAACCAACGTGTGCGAGTATAAAAAATTATGTTGCCAAAATATAATCTCACGATCTGCTGTGCTTGTCAAAAACAACACATGCAACGCATCCAAAAATAAAAAAAATCTGAATATATTTGTATATACATATGTGTATTTATAAATAAGTAAAATAAAGATATAATATTTAAATTTAAATAAAATTTATGCATTCGTTGCGCATTTCCCACACGATTCTCAATGGGAGCAAAGCATAAAATCTTTACGAAAATTTATTGCAATTCTTTGCAGTTTTTAGGTTTATGCTACTGCATCGATTGGCATTTCTGGTGCAAAGCAAAAATCAAATTGAATTCAATTTGCATAAATTCAATTTCAAATAGAAATTAGTTCTATCTACCTAAGGTTTAATTATATGAATTCATTAGCGAATGGCTAATGTATCTACAATTTTCCCAGTCGTTGCTGTGGTATTCAAATGATTTTTGTATATCAAAAATTTAGGTTTTATTTTTATTTTCAATTTAGTTTTCTATTTTGCAGTTACATGCAATTTTATTTAAATAAATTTTCTTATTTTTTTTATTTAAACTCATTTTTGTGGAAGATATAATGCAGGTCACTAAGATTGATCACTCAATTGTTGCAAATTAAGCAAATGTTTAGATTATTTTCTTTTAAAAAGGTTTTTTTTTTATTGTTTTTTACAAGTGAGTTTGATAAATGTAAGATAATTAATTAAGAACGTGAGACAAGCATATGTAATTATTATTTCATGTGCTTTTTTTATTTGTTTTTAATACTACATATATGTTATATTTTAATACATATAATCAAGAAAATAGTAATTAAAAATCAACTCACGAGATTCAACAACAAATATAAATACTATAAATTCCTTTCTAAATTAGACAACCATTTAAAACTATTTCTAATTAAATACAATATTACAAAGAGATCGTGATTATTACTGATTTATGCAATTTATGACAATAAGACATAAGATTGATTTGAATCAAAAATACTGCTCATGTGCAAACGCAATATGGGGCGTCATCAATATGGTATTACTTCGCATTCAACGATATATATAAATCAGTAATATGAGTTGAAGATATCACAACTGACTAGCTTTTAAACAAAACACGCGGATCTTAAAGTTTACAGTAATCTCTCTATAAACGTGCTTACCACAAACATCATTGATTATTCAGATCCATTGTTATCTACAATAATGATATTTGGTCACTAAAATGTGGTGATATCACCACTTTCAGCTAGTTATATAAATACACCGAACTTGGAGAAAACTATATGCCCTGTACAACAGACATTTATTCATCATTGAGAGCGGATGTAGCACTGCAACCATCTGGTCTATTGTGCTCCCTTCTAGGCTTAGCATAGGTCTCTGAGCCCTGTTGCGTTAATAATAAATCCTCTTAAAGCCTAGTATAAAGCCTACTTTGCAGAATCTTCCGGAAAAAAGATTTCTGTGTATGCATTAGCGCAGGGCATGCTAACAACACATGATTGGCTGACTCTTCATTCTGTTCGCAGAATCTTCAGTTTGCTTCCCTCGAAAGGTGGTGTTTTAGTTTACAGTGTTCTTTTAAAATTACTATGATGACTCCAAGTTTTTCTTTTGATAAGTTCAAACAATCCTGGTATATCCTACATATGTCTGGTATAACACACATATGAATCATATTAAATTCTTTATAATGTACGATAGAAAGAATTATTAAGAGTAAAAACATTATAAAACATTGGGATTCCACATTAAATCTCAGAGCATAAAATGGTTGGGTAATATTGGGCGGGAAAACAGCAAAACAAGCCTAAGTCAGTGTACCAATTGTTAAAAGAAGAAAAGAGCTGTCCAAAAAAATTAATTTAAAAAAAACAGAAAGAAATAGTTGTATTCATTGATTTTGTGCCACTAAAATTATAGGAATGGGGAAAAGTGACAAAGAATGAGGAGAGATGCAGAAATGTTGTTAAGGAAGCACTGGCCCAGTGTTGGCTTTTATACTATTTCATAATAATATTAATAATAAATAAAACTAAAAAACTTAAGAAGCTGTAACGGAAGTTTTGCACTCACTGGAATGAATTTTTATAATATTACTAAATATTACGAAAAGTTCAATGATTTAAACTTTCAATATTTGATTATCGGTCTAAATTAAATAAAATACTTGTCTATATGAATTATTCTAATCCATTATAAAATAAAATCCTTCACTTCACTCCTACCAGTAGTCAATGTTAAATTTAGCTAAAATAAGCACTAGTCGCAGTGCTAGCTAAGTAATCAATAAAAAAAGCTACAATAGCAATATGAAAAAGAATAATTCTCCAAGATAAAAGTCAGTATATACATAAAACTTAAAAAATAATAAAGAAAATGTATTAAAAAACATGGCTATAAGAAATTCTTATATATACATTTTCAATGTTAAAAATCACCATTTTCTTCTATTTCTCAAAACTACTATCCTTTTCTAGAGACTGATGTTTAGGCGTTTCCTCAAACCGCCTCCCACTTGTTTGCTTTATTAGCTTTGTCAACGGCGCTTGTGAGTTTATTTCTACTGAAAAATACCACATTCGTTATATCCGTGACGTCACTTAAAATATAAATATTTTAGTGAATAATTGAACGACGTCTAATAAACGAAACTAATTTTTTTCCAAAGGGTGTGTGCTAACCATACAACTGTCATTTAAATAATTATTGTCATGGGATATACAGAAAAAAATAATACAATGTTACTCATGTAGAATATCTTAAAAATAATAATGAAAGTTATATTTAGAATGTCTAGATATTATCAAATACAAAATATAGTATTGAGATTGTTTCCTAATATTACTGACGTTATTCTACGACCCATTTTCCTCACCATTTACCTAACTATCAAGTAATGGTATCTAATTAAAGATAAGTTCAAGAGATACAAAATATTTTAATTAAAATTTCCTATAAATTGATTTAAACAAAAACGTATCAACAAAATATTTTTGGAAACGTGCAAAATATACGTTTTCTTACATTTTGTTTTTAAATCTTAAAATAAAATTTTTTGAAAATTTTAGAAGCTCATACCACTGTACATTTGACGTCATAGAAAATTGAATTTGAAATATGCCAAAACTTTATTAAACATTAAAGAATCATGTGACATCAGTTGCTTTTCAATAGGGAAGGAAAATGTGGAAATCTACGTAAACAAACTATGAACAAAAATACCTCATAGAAATAACGAAATTATCGTAATGCTTGGGAAATATTTAAACAATTTCACAAAACCGCAACTATTTTCGGATACTGAATAATACATGAAAGCACTTTCATTTTTAAAATATTTCAAAAAAATGTGGGATGCACGAGAAATTAGTGTCAAAGGTTAAAAGTGTATTTTAGAGGACTATCTCACTTGATAAATCACATGTTAATTTTAGATAAAACTAAAATAAATTAAATTATTTATATAAAGATATTTAAAGTGATATATGTTGACATAATAGTTTTAATTTTATTTAAACTATTTTATCACATGTCATCATTTGTTTTATTTTACTTACCTCTAAAATGGGCGATTGATTTTCCAGAGGCACAAGTGGTTTTTCTGGGATGGGTCGAGAGGCATAATAATACACTGACGCCGCAGCTATACCCGCTAACGTAATAGCACCATAGGTACCACCGAGGTAATATAAATAACCATCGACCTCATCTACTGTAATTCAGAAGTAAAGTAAATGAAAAAATATATTTAGTTTTACAAATCTTTAAAGCTTTAAAAGAGCAAAACTTCTTAATATCAAACTATTGTTATTTTTAATAAATTTAATATATCTTCTACTGATGAAACTATATTTCAAAACAAATATTCGAGCTGATCACAACATATGTCATTTCATACATTCCCTGGTCCAGCTTGAACCTCTTATTATACATTATATAAAACATTTTACTCGTATATTATAACATTATCATATCTTAAAGGTAATATTTGAGCTTAAAAATGAATTTTAGTAACCTCTGTCTCCACAGGTTTAACACCATAGGCGTAGAACATTTATATAAGTAACTGAAAAAATGAAACGGTGACAAAACTCCAGCCCCCATGGTACATATTCTTTCTTAAATACCTCCATATATGTTACCGTTCTCATATAAGATTAATGAACCAAAATTTTCTCCTACTAATTATTTTAGTAGTAATACTAATACAAATACGACTTAAATTTGTTGCTAACCATTATAATAAATTAGAATTTTATTTACTAAATAGATTATCAGTATTATTCTATATATGACTAAAATGTGAACTCAGAGCGTCAAATTATTGCTCATAAAATTAAGATTAGAAACATCCTTTCACACATCTTTTTAAAAACCTTAATTACGACTTCTCATAGTTGACCGTATAGCCTTGACACTGCACATTAAGTTTATAGTTTGATTTGATTCCTGCAACTCCATTTTTTGACATAAAATTAGTCTCAGCGAGTATTCCGAAACAATAAATGGTTTGAACCGAAGAATTAAAAACCAATGAATATTATTTTCTGCAACATTTCATTTTCCAAAAAAACATTTTCGTGCACACAGTATCGTAAGTAAACCTATTCTTTAAGTTTATAAAACTAACGTCTAGTATGAACAAAAATACTTGAGTAAATTTCTAACTAAATGAAATAGGTGACTGAAGTGAAATGAAGTGCCTTTTCTCATATAGATAAAAAAAGTTTGATTCATGTTTCTTTTAAATTTGGGGAGAACGGCAAGTGTTTCACAACCAACAGGGCATATTAATAAACACGAACAGTAGGTGATTTTTAAACCTGAGATATTATAGAAGGTGTTAAGGAATTGCAAACTCAGGTACTGGAACTCAGATCTAGATAACCATTAGTACATCAAAGGTGTTCAGATGTTTCTCTAATACCTCCGTAAATAATATACATGAGTTGTGATGGTGTAGGTCTAACCTAGCTGTTTTAATTCAGTTCATTTGTTATGTGAATAAATGTGTCCACAGTACAGTAGCTATATTTCTTCTGAGTCAAACCTATATTATATAGACAATCTTTTAATTTCCAATAACTAGTAAAATAACTTGAAAATTCTTTATTTATTTCAGTTAAAACTCATTAGTAATTTAACAAAATTGACGCTTATAACACATGCACTTATAGCGCTGCTTAACTGCTACTCTATATCGGTGTAATGAAAAATTTAAGCTAATACCTCTATATAATAAATTAATTGTGTTCACTTTTACCAAAATTAAAAAAGATATCAATTTATATATTAATAAGCATATCAATACTTACGGAAATAACTAATATTGCTCATAATGAAGTGATTAAAGTAAGCCCAAATAGATTTTTCCGGCGACATTAGAGTTTTGTTTTTGTTGGTTTTTATAATTACGTATATATAATATATTTATTTAATTGAAGTTATTATAAATTATTACGAAATTATTACGGTATAAATTATTCATATATTTAAAGCTTTGATATTGATTTTATTACGTTAATTATTAAAAATTAACATGAGCAATTAATTATGTTAACATATCGATTTAATTTGACATAGGTATTTAATTTTCATTAGATCATATATAAATAAGTAATTGATAATTAGTAGTTAATTGATTGATTAATTAGATTATGTTTTTTAGTTTCTTTTTTATAGTATCAGGACGCTTTGCATTCGTAATTCATCTGAAACAAAAAAAAACAAGATATTATTATTTTAATATATTTATTAAATCATATAATTAATATATAATAATTTATTATAGCGTGATGAATATTAAAACAAACAACTAAAGTTAAAATAATTGTTTATTTCGTTTGATATATTTTTAGCTACATCTAAAAGAAATAAATAAAGGTTTTTCACATCTGTTATTTCTTAATAAAATAAATAAAATATATAATCATCAATTTAACTCATTTCCTCCATTTGACAGAAAGCAAATCAATGATTGCATCTGTCTCTCATCAAACTAACCAAACTTTTTAAACTTTAACCGAAAAACATTGTCAAATTTGTAAATGTGCTTAATAATGGACCGATGTGGCCTACATTATAATAATAATTTGACACTCTTGAAATTTGAACTTATATACCACATATGACACTTTGATAAATGTATATAAATAATACAAATAAGCAAATGCCATAAATGTAAATGATGATCGATCCCTTTGGCTGAGAAATGAAATAAAAATTGTATGGAAGAAGATCCCAGTTTTAATATAAAAAACCTTATCCGAAAAAAATCCGCAGATATCAGGTAACAATATACATAAGATATATTAGAGGAAAAACCAGATAATTCTAGATTTTTTAACTAGTTTTTTTTTCAGTTAGAATTTTCTTTGATACCCTTCCAAATACCATTTTCTCATTTTTCAGACCCAACCATCATTACTTAAAATTTAAGCATTTGATAATGAAACACCCTGTATAAGTGCATATATCGAAAACAAATGTATGCAAAAGAATTCATTGGTATAATTTCTGCCATAAGTTTATTATAGCAGCACCTATAAAAGATTGCAGCCCTAAATTATGCATTACTTTTAACAAGGTTTTATAGTTAAATTTCCTTGCAGATTACACTGTAAAAAATAACTTTGTTGTAATTCAAAAATTTTATATATATCCGAAAATATAATTATAATTGTTACAGTTCTATGAACATATGTACTTTATTTAAGTTAGTCAATTAATACTTTGAACAGAAATATCTGCTGAATTTGGGCTAGGTAACATATAGAGTGCTGTACACTTAAGGTAAATAACAAAATACATGTTTATATCTATAATAAAAATTATTTTAAAAAAACCTCAAATTAAATATTGTAGAAAACTAATTGATTTGCAATCTTGCTATTTGTGTGGAGTATTATGACATAGCTGAAGCTATTTTTCAACCCTTCGAATGAAGACAAAAACATCATCTGTTGTCAATTTGATTGATTATATGCGAATAAATGCTCGCGACCTAGTTTGCTCTTCATAGCCTAGCTCAAAGCTAGACAGTGAGAAAACAATGTAACTAAAAGTTTCATGTGCTTGCAAACGCTAGCCATTTTGATCTATCAAATGACTTGCCAATAGTTTCAGCTTTGTTATACTGAGGAAGAGCACTTTTCCTTGGTTGCTACTCAAAATGCCATGCTCATTAACACTTATTTGATTAAAGCCCATTTTACTACTATAAACTTTAGGTACACCAAATCATTACAGTTATAAAATTAAATGGCTTATTCGGTCCTTACAGGATTTTCTACAATCTTATTACCATTGATTTTAGTGTGACTAAGAATGCAGAGTCTCAAACAAAAACTTAAAATCTCCGGTAAGATTTATCTAAGTGCAAATAATGAATTTTCGCTTGGGAGAGAATGAGCTTTACACTGGCATTAAGCTTTTATGTCAAAAACTTCTGTGCCAACAAAATAAATTTTGTTAAGTTTACTAGAATTGTAGAATTAACTTGTTATTAAGATAAATCAGGTCTGATCCCACATAATATATTTTTTCACATTTTTTCGATATGAATATCTCTCATGTAATTTCTATCATAATTCTTTTGAACCCAAAGAAAGCAAACCTTATTTCGAAAAATCCAATTGTTACGTACTTAGGAAAATTTATTAAATAGAAATATATAGCATTTATTTAATAAATAGTAGTTATTGAAATTGTATAATAAAATTATTAATAAAAAATTATGCTTTTTAATTAGATAATATGTATATGTCAACACATGAAAGTATGTTTTTATTTCAATTAGAAACACTCTAAAACTAATCTACCTATGCAAATAAGAATATATTTAAGAGATTATTATCATATTTACAAAGCTACTTTGATAAATAATAATTTATTAGCGGCTAATTGTTCAATTTAAATAGAAATAAAAAAAAATATGTAATTTATTATTTATATTTAAAAACAATTTATATTTTATTAAAATTGTTCCAATATTTCGCCTATCTTCGATTGTCATCTTCATGGAAACGAAACTACTTAATTACTTACTACAGAAATATATCAAATAATTTTGTATGAATTATAAAACCAAAACCCAAAACCTAATATTGATCTAACCTAGTTGATTAACTAATAGATACTCGAATTGACAAATATTCTGTCAAAGTTACAATATAAAAATTTGTTAGTAATTAAATTGAAACACATGAATTCTTCCATTCTTCTTCCATAATTCATCCCTTTACTTATTACATTACACCAAACATTAATTTTATGGTCATTAATACTCCCACACAATAACGTTAAAATAACATATGTAAAATGACACGATAATAAGAAATATAAAAAGTTCATAAATATGTTATTTTAACCATTCAATTATAAAATAGAATGAAGAGCATGACAGAAAGTGGCACATCGTATGATTTTTACTTACATTTTGCCTTTCCAGTACAAAACAAATAATATCAACCACCAATTCAACCCACAAATTTAATACATTTTCTTTCATAATTAAAAGGTAAATTTTAAAAAAATATAACATATCTAACCCAGTGCCTTTGTTCTCATCGACTGAGTACTATGAAAATAAGCCCACAAATTAAATACGATACGAGCACCCGTACTTCCTTCCTCTTGCAGGTATGACAGGCATTCCATGCTGATACCAGAGCACGTCGAAAAATCAATGAATATTTTACCTTTATTGATTAATTTCACTGTGAACTTTTCATTCTTCACTTAGCGGTAATGTTTCACTTCAGGTTTTAATGTCAATTTTTTCATTGTTTTTGTCTTTTTTTCAGCTTTTGTTTATGAATTTATGAAAATTGCAAATATAAAAAAGCTTGTGTATTCTAATTGCCGGTAAAATCGCATGACTTTTTCATTTTTATATAGCATGCTTTGCGGCGCAAAATGGCGCAGTCGGAAGTATTCACACACAAGCACTCGTCACTTCTGTGGAATGACATAGAAGCCTACACGTCCAAAAATAAAAGTAAAAATCGATGCACGACTTCCACTGACAAATGTCAACTAAATAGAAAGTACTTTTACTATTTTCTTTTTTTGTTTTTTATTTAAACTAATCATTTTTATTTCAGTTTAATGTATCTACCGAGACGAGTGTATAAGCCGCTGAGAATGTAAACACTTGACAATATGTGATTTATTACAAGGCACAAGTGTTCTTCAAACTCTTCATTTACAATTATTTTCCAGAACTAAATATTGCAAGAATTGGAATTTTTATTCCTTTTGTTAAATAAATGGTAGTTTTATGCGCAGCAATTTTATTTTAATAGTAAAAATAAGAATATTTAATCATGTAAATATATTGATGATATACAGACTTGTACACAAATGCATAAATACTTCATACAATAGGAAACTCGTATTCTTGGGAATAAGAAAGCACTCGACTTCAATGAATTCGTCTGCTGAGAACTACCTAGAACTTACAATGATTTTCTTATTGAAACAATATTGCATTTGAAGGCATTTGATATATTAAATTATAATATAAAAAATAATAATAATCTTATATATAAAAATGAATCGAAAAATGTGTTGGTAAGCGCACAACTCAACAACGCATTGCCCAATTTGGTCAATTCTTTTTTTAAATTTTCGTTGAAGTCCAAGGATGGATTCTACGGCGAGAAAAAAATCGACTTAATTCCAAATTGGTCCTGACGTTGTTGAGTTATGCGCTTACCAACACATTTTTCGATTCATTTTTACATATAAGAAGACAAGAACATAACCAGAATAGATGAGTTTGTGTGTTGCAATAAGTTGTTGATTATTGTAGGTATGTTTATTAAATCCCCATGACTTCCTTTGCAGATCATTATCTCCACTATCCAAGCGAACCACCCACTTTTTATATATTTGTCACCTTTAGGTTTCCACTATCCCTTTAGATTATTTTCCAATCAGGTTTGAACCCTAAGTTCACCTCTTAGTTTGAAACCCTCTGGCAGATATCTCACTCGGGGTTTTTTAGTGGATCCCAGAAGGGTGGCCAAAGTTCTTGGAGGAGAAGATACTTTGACCACCCGAGCTGAACCCCACACGCCAGGGTCACTGTTCTGTTCAGGAGATTTTTTTGCCGCGACTATAAAATAGGTAGGAACAAAAAACTACCACATTCCAAATCTTTTTGACAGAGCGAAGTATGTCGGGTCCGCTAGTAATAAATATAATTATATTAAAAATAATATAATTGCAATATGATCTAATTAAAACACCCAGCGATACAAGATGAGCAAAAATGCTGAATATTAAAATCAGATTTCTTAGATTATTATAGGTAATAATCTTTAATAATTTGGTGGCTCAATTAATTCCAAAAGCAAAGTACTAGAACCAAAACACATATGATAGACTTTGATTTAATCATTGGAAAATGCTTAAGAA